TGGTCTAAATAATGTGTTCGCAGAACTATTTTTAGGACTAGAAATCTCTTTTTTTTCATGTTTATAAATCTCGAGGTCGAGATGATTGATTAAGGGTTTTCCAACATAGGAACGACTTTCTCTATTTTTAGGTGCACATTACTCGTACTCGTACATTATAAAGTTGACACTTGATATAAACTTTTTTTTTTAATAATTGTTTATGATTCACAATATAATGATAATGAAAATTTGATTTTACTAAGTTCATAGCTAGTATTTATTTTAAAATTTGTTATTCAAATTGATATGTAATTAATATTTTTATACGAAAAAAAGCCAATCAATATCACATGAAATTAGAAACTTCACTCGTTACCATAAAAATGACCCATTTTATTGTACTTTTGGAATCAATTTTTCACTCAAAAATATGAAACACAATAAATTTACAATTTGGTATTAATAAATAGGTCTCCTACAACATAAAAGTTCTATCCTCCCCCTTATCCAACCGTCCATTTTTTAATGAAGAACCAATCACAACGTCATGCCTCTACACTATTTTATTTTTAATTTTTTTCTATAAACTATTTTGACACTAAATTTTGGACATCCATTCCTCTATTAAACTTGCACTAACAAAAAATATTAAAAAAAAAAAAATCAATTAAATAAAATAACCAAAATATCCCTGAAAGTTTCAAGAGATATTTTGGTTATTATTTTTTATCAAAAAGTTATTGTTAATATTTTTTATAGATTCGCCCCAATGAAAAGATGGCATGGACCAAATTTCATATCCAAAAAATTTGTATTAAAAAAACTAAAAATAAAATACTTTGAGACGTCGGATCTAAGATCAAACGGTGAGTGGCTCTCTCGATAAAAAATGGATAGCTGAATGGTAGAATGAAGATAGAACTTCTATGTTGTAGGGGGAACATAGAAAGCTTTCCCTTAATAAATATTTCTCTTTTAACTTTCAGTATGAAATAGTTCTAAAATTAGTTCTAAAAAAAATAGTTCTAACATTTATAAATTCAGTAATATTTCTAGAGAGCAAAAGTTCACAGATGTTCAAAAGGTTTGGTGCATTACTTACAAAATTCACGAAATATCTAAAAATGTAATTTCATATACAGGTCAAGGCACCAGAGATCAATGGCAAACACCCCATTCAAAAGGAATCCAAATGCCTAAATTTGTTTTCAAACGAATAGGTGGTTTTGGATGCCAAATAGGTTGCAAACTAGAAGTAAAGAGAGCCAAAAAACCAACGACCTATATAATCTGAATGCCATCTTTGAAGAATAATCTGGCTTCTAACTAAGACCATGATCTCTAGACTCTTTCTCTAAGACACGAGGGGTGAGTGCATCATCATCATAATCTGAGTATTATCCCAACTATTTGGGGTCATTTACACAAGGGGCAAGTGAATTATTTGCTGAAAATGGCTTCACTGATGATCGGAGTGCTTCTGGCCCCTCTGCATCAATCCTCTTGCATAAAGTGTCACAACTGCTGATCACCTCAGTGAGTCTTCCTTTGAGCTCCCCAACTTCTACTTGCAATGGGTGAACTGCACATTATCATGACATTCCACATCAGTATCAAACAAAATATAGTACACACATGCACGCAGTTTTCTAATTGAGTTAAATAGTGTTTTGAACAATGCCTGCACTAATCCACATACCTTCTGCCAAGTTTTGTGCAGTTGTCCGCATAGCTGAGACTGAGTAATTGAAACGCTGCATAAGCTTAGCGGCTAACGCGTCTGCAATTTCGATTTTGTTTTCCAACTCCTCCTGGAAAGCTCACTCTAAGCTAAGAAGAGATATAAAATATCCAAATATCTTTTTCTGTGTTTAATAGCATGAATGGAGTAATAAGGAGCAGTACAGATATCAGAAGCAATGTTAAGAGGGCTCAAATCAACAGTGGTGTCTAGTTCAACAGGTCCACTTGGATAAACAGATAACAAGGAAGACCAGAAACAAGGGACAAGACCATGTCCCCATGTCAGATTACTCTTTGCCTAATAAGACTACATTCTGTGCATTACTACACGGACTATAGATCTTTGCGGCCATTAAGAGAAGGGCAAGGGTGGAAGGCTTTGGAAATTTGAATTTTGGATAGCTAAACAACACAACTAGTCTTGTTAAGTCCCTATAACCAATTTCTAGAGAGATTAGATTATCTATATTGCTTTCATTTAAAAACAAACAAAATTGATGAAGTGCAGTTGATATTAAAACAATGTCATATTCTTTTGTTCTTTTCCTTTTTATGCATGGGATGGTTCAGATCAAACAAACTCATACTAATCAAGGGGTCAGAACATAGTTTAGCCTTTCTCAGGTTAGAATATCACCAGGGCCAAAAGGATTTGGTTTCGGATCGAAATGGTCGGTCCGGTCAACTTGAGTTTGATGCAAAGTCTTCGTAGGGAAAACAACCATTACACATGGAAACCAAGAAGTTATCAATGCTTTTAGATATTGCTGGTGCAATACTGAAGATCCACTCTAAACCCACGCAACCCAATAAAATTTGGTCCTATAGCCACTGATGCATTTAAAAGAAAAAACATTATTAACAAACTTCTTTTTGATCCAAAACCATGCTTTTCTCTGAAAAAATTGACAAGTATGTGGCATTTTTAATAAGGGAAGGCCCTATTAATTTTCCCATTTTGTGACAAAAAGGAAATTTCAAAATTTCACAATTTGAAACATGGGAAGAAACTTACCTGTCTTTCACTGATTCTTTTTGCTTTCTCATCTTGCCACTCACGATAGAGGCAGAAGAGCTCAAGTAATACTTTAGGATCTAGAGTACCTGCAAAGTACATCATCACATTTAAAAAACAATAGATTCTAAGAACTACTAGGTATCAATTGAAAATAATAAATAAATAAAATATAAGAAAAATGTTGGAAAAAAAAGGAGTCTCTAAAAGATAAATTGACTTGGTGAGAGATATGTACGAGGGAGTGCTAACTAGTATAAGTACAACTAATGGAGAGACAAGTGAGTTGTTAGTGACAAACGGCTTACATCAGGAGTTAGCATTAAGCCCGTAGGTCCTTATTTTGGTCATGGACGAGTTAACTGGGCATCTATAGGACGAGATACCGTGATGCATGTTGTTCGCAGATGGCATCGTTTTGATTGACGAGACTCATGATAGTGTCAATGCAAAGTTAGAACATTGGAGGGATGCTCTAGAAACTAAAAGATTTTAAAATTGACCGGACTAAGATAGAATACATGAAATGCAAGTTTAGTAATAATGAGAATAGAAACGAGAAAGCAATTAAGATTGATGACTAAGAGATACCTAAAAAAGATTATTTTCAATATTTTAGGTTGATAACCCAAGGGAATTGAGAGATTGAGGAAGATGTTGTGCCTATAACTAGAGCTGGGTAGGTAAAATGGAGATGTGTAACTGAAGTTTTATGTGATCATAGTATACGAATGAAATTAAAGGGGAATTTGAATAGGACGGTTGTACGACTAACCATGCTTAATGGGACAGAATATTGGGGGGTCAAGAAACAACATGTCCATATGAGTGTAGTTGAGATGATGATGTTGACATGGATGAGTGGCAAGACAAAAAAGGATAGAATTTGGAATGAATACATATATGGGAACTTAAGGGTATCTCCAATAGGCGGCAATAAGATGAGGGAAAGTAGACTTAGGTGCCCTGGCCATGTGCAACGTAGGCCTAATAAAACACTGTTTAGGAGGGGTGATTTAGTTCAAGTGGATGACTCTGAAAGGGCAAAGGGATGGCCCAAAAGGGCAAGGATGGAAGTAGTGAGATGAGTTATAGTGACTTATGGTCTGATTGAGGGCAAGGGGATGGCCCAAAAGGGCAAGGATGGAAGTAGTGAGATGAGTTATAGTGACTTATGGTCTGATTGAGGGTATGGTCTGATTGAGGGTATGGCCATTGATTGAGGGCAAGGGGATGGCCCAAATAGTTGGGATAAGGCTTGGATGATGATGATGGTGATGATAAGAAAAATAAAATATTAATCACACTTGTCATAGCAATAAAAGTATTGTAGGCAAATGTTAGATATCAAATGAAAACAATAAATAAATAATAATAAATATATAAAAAAAATGAAATATCAATCATATTTGTCATGGTAGTGAAGTACTAGATCTTTCCTTCAATAAACATCTTTAATAACATAATATCAAGTGATCTTTTTTTCAGATAGAGGTAGAAGAGCTCAAGCATTACATTAGCATTTAGAGTACATGCAAAATACATCACCTTATTTTAAAACGACGTATTGAAGGCATTGCTAGTTATCAAATGAAAATAATAAATAAATAAAAATATATAAGAAAAATGAAATATTGACCGGATATCTCATGGCAGGAAAATTATAGCAGGCACTGTTTTAGGTATCAAATGAAAATAATAAATAAAGAAATAATAAAATGAAACTATAAGAAAAATGGAATTTTAATGATGTTTGTCATGGAGGTAAAGTATTAGGGCTTCTCTTTATTAACATAAAATTTTTAAAACATTAAATGACCTTTTATGTGACAGCAATTAAATGATTGTCATATTGAATTATAACTTTGGCTAAATAAAACGAGAACAAAACAAAACATATTTAACAGTTTGACTCTACTTACTTCCCATGTCTCCAAGGAGTGGCTAAATAAAACGAGAACAAAACAAAACATATTTAACAGTTTGACTCTACTTACTTCCCATGTCTCCAAGGAGCTATTCTGACGTTCTGTCCTAGAAAAACCAGGAGTGTGGGTTTTTCCTAGTTCATAGGTGTTTTGCAGAATTAGATAAGGAGGAATAATTTCATTTCTTGAAATTTTCACAAAGTTGTTTAGAAAGGCAATGGAAACCGTTAAAGTAACCTTAGAACTGAAGATGAGGGTCACAGACCCCCAATTTGGGGTTGATAGGGCTTGGGAAGACGCAAATACAGTTCTATACTTCTATTTTGCACTTTTATAGAATTCAATAAAGTCAACTGTTGATCAAATTTTCGTAAGGTCCAGTGTCATATAGGATTCAACATGATAATTCATAAATCAAGTTGATTAGACCAATTTCAACGGTCAATCAAGTCAATGACTATGCCCCAGTATGCTGCACATCATTAGGATGATTTGTTGCGTATCAGATAATCTCTAATCCAAAAATGGCCGAGGTTTCCACCATTCAAGAACATGATGTGTTGGTAAAAGTTCGCTTGCATCATGTAGAGGAATCATTAAGGTTCAGAATTAGTAGCGGTAACATAGAAAGCAATTGAATTTCAAGTCTTATGGATAATAAATTAGTAAGTCAATGCTTAAGATTGCAAGTAGCACCACGCAAAAGAGCATATTGGTCCTTTTTATTTCCACCATAAAGTGTAAACATCAAATTAGAGGCCTGGCAGAGTTCAGTCGGAAATGGATCACTCTATCGTCTCCTAGGAGACATGAATTTGCAATAGGAGCCCAGTAAAGCACCAAGGATTTAGACATAACCCCTTTAGTTTTGAACTTCAAAGCAAAGAAATTCCATGTAGCCATGTTACTTTATACCAGCAACTTGACAAGCCCCATATTAATAAGCAAATCTCAAAGTCAAGTACGAAAACACAAGAAAAAATTTGTTTTTCCGCAACCTGAGACTTTTTTCGCTACCAACCCACACAAGATAGCACATACGTCTACCATACTTTGGATACTCATCTTCCATCTGGTTGGAAGGGTTTTGTGGGACCAAGGAGTGAAACCATTCTTGACATGCTCCAGAATAAACCTGGTGGTTACTTCTTGATACAACCTTGCTACCTAGATCTATTCCAAGTTTGGGGAAAGGCTTCCACTTTTTTGTTTTTTTTTTGTGAGAATGCTAGTAAAGAGTGTTACAAGACATTGCACAACCCATGGATGGGGCGCTTCACAACCAAAACCCCTTACAGGGCCCAAAAACTGCTATACATCCAAAAAATCGACAGCTAAAAACGGTGAACCAAAAGGGGGGCCTTTAGTGCTCGAAAAAGTGCCCAAGAGTACCCTGAGGATTCTGTAGTGTGGCGCCCTCCTTAGCAAGGGAGTCTATTGTGCCATTTGTTCTTTTCAAGTGTGTCGCCAACGCACTTGCAAATCCCTAGTGACACCGAAGATCTCATCAAAAATGTGGTCCAGACACCAGACATTCTTGGAGTCCCTTCTACAATCACAGTGGGGCCCCAATCAGGGTTGAAATTGCATAACCCTTCAAGAAGGGCAACTGCCTCTGCAGTGTTGGAGTTGGTGTGACCTATGAAACAGGCGAAGGAGAAGAGGGTATCGCCATCCTTGTCTCTGAAAATGCCCCCAATACTTGATGCTACAAGATTGCCAAGGGAGCAACCATCAAAATTGGGCTTTGATTGCCCCGCTTCAAGTGGCCTCCATAGAGATGCCCGAGAAATGCAGTGAGTCCTGACATGTAAGAGGTTCTTTTGCCAACTGGTATGAAAGTTAGATATGGAGAAGCGTTGGAACGCAGTATTGCTTTTGGCCCAAAAAATGACATGGGATGTGACCTTCTCTTTAAAGGTTTCGATGGTAGCTCTCTTGCCGCAAAAGATCCTGCTATTTCTTTCCAACCATATGACCCAAAGGGTGGCTGCTACTGAGGCAAGAAGGATGCCCACTTCGACCAAGGTGGCGAGAGGCAAGTCCTAAAGAGGTGTGGGATTGAGTGTGAAGTCACCCACGACCAGCCAAATTGTCAGAGGAGTTCCCCCCAAAGGGTTCTTGCTGTCTTGCATTGGATGAAGAGGTGGGCAAACATGCCCTTGTTGCTCTTGCTGTTGTCCTATGGTTCTTTACTGACACCCCTTAATCTAAACTTTAGTTTTAAGAAGCATATTTTGCAGAAAACCAGTATGTAGAATAAGAAGAAACACAAATCGACCGTGTATTTAAGATGAGGTACTGTGGTGCATGTTGTTCGCAGATGACATAGTTTTCATTGATGAAACCCGAAACGGCATCAACACAAAGTTAGAACTTTGGAGAGAAGAATCCAAACATTTTAAAATTAGCCGGACTAAAGCAGAGTATATGGAGTGCAAGTTTAGTAATAATAAGAGCAGAGACGAGGAAGTAGTTAAGATTGACGGCCAAGAAGTACAAAAAAGACCGCACTTTCGATATCCTGGGTCGATAATCCAGAAAAATGGAGAGATCGATGAAGATGTTGCACACAGAATTAGAGCTGGGTGGGCGAAGTGGAGATGTGCAACTGAAATTTTATGTGAACGCCGCCTACCAATGAGTTCTATAGAACAACGGTGAGACCAGCTTTGCTCTATTGGGGCGGAATATTGAGCGGATAAAAAACAATATACCCATAGAATGAGTGTAGCAGAGATTGAGGATGTTGAAATGGATGAGTGGCAAGATAAGAATGGATAGCATTCGAAATGAATCTATCAAAGAGAATTTAGACGTCGCATCAATAGGCGATAAAATGAGAGAGATCAGACTTAAGTGGGCTGGCTATGTGTGGCTCCGACCAAGTACAACACCTGTTAGGAGGTGCAAGTTAGTTCAAGTGGAAAGATTGAAAAGGGCAAGAGGTAGGCTCAAAAGGAATAGTTGGATGTAGTCTCAAAAAATATGGGGACTTATGGCCTCACTGAAGGTATGGCCTTTAATAGAGCAGAATGGAGAACCAGGATTCATGTTGTCGATCCCAATTAATTAGGAAAGACTAAAATGATGATGATGATGAATTTACTATGCATGAAGGTCATCCAATGGTAGGCAGTTGTACGGGCATGTTGGTCTCCCATGGGCAACTATGGTCTCATCTCCTCTCAGAACTTGTATCCACATTTTGTTTTCTGGTTCACTAGCCAAAACCTCTGGTTGAGAGCCGTTGGTCTGTATATTCTTGACAAGTGACCCAGATAGGACGTGCCTTGTGATGATTCCACTAACAAAAAAATTTTTGACACAACAAGATTGAACCCAAGAAGAGCTTAATGCTTACAATATTAAAGAAGAAGCAGTGACTTAGTAACAAACTCCAGATGCTCTTGACTTCATGCCCTTCACTTCTGGTCATTGCTTTATGGATCAGGCTAGGTTGAAGAAATGAGTATAACCAACTAAAGAGAAATATTCTCTCAATTCAGGAATGCAGTCAACCCAAAATGGGATAAAAAGGTACTTCATCTCACTAAAGAAATTGCAAAAATAGAGGCATGTATGATCTCCTACTTCTGGTCAAGGCAGAGAATGGAACAGACAGATAAACAAAACCATCTATCCTATCATCAGATAATAAATATACTGAATATACCAACAAATCATTCACTTGATCCAAAATGTTAATCCTTTAGCTACGAAAAAAAGGTGCAGAACTAAAAACAAAGGGAATTAAAATACAAGTATTCAACCAATACAAGAAAAAAAATCTCACCGTATCTCGAAGCCGATTTTCGAACCAGAATGTCAGTCAAACTGCTCTCAGTTGGTGGGGCTTTCAGTATTGGAGTTGCCTTAACAAACCCATATGCAGTGAAAAATCAAAGTCAAGAAAGAACCCCACATCAACAAAAACAATCAATAGATAGATCAACAGATTAAATCCTAGAAACAAAAAAAAACCAAAATTAGAGCGAAAAAGAAAAAAAGAAGAAGAAGAAAAAACTCACTATTTTAAGTGATTTGAGCTTTAGAAGGAGGGGGTCCACGTCGTCCTTTCTTTCTGTGACTGTGGTGATACCATCTACAGGCTTGTGGTTGGGGAGGAGAAAAAACAAAGCAATAATAAGACACACAGGCATTTCTGCACAATGAATTGAGGAGAAAGAAAAAAAGTAAAAGGAAAATTGGGGTACCTGAGAGTCTAAATGTTTAGATTCACCGGAACCCATGTCTCTTTACTTCTGGACTCTATATCATCATCCTGTGCAACATGATCATCAAATCCATGCTTTAGGGGACCTGTAAATTCATACTTCAGATGAACAATCCGAGCGAGAGAGAGGGGAGCAGATTTATGAAAATCTTGGAAATTGACGGTCCAAACGCATTACAAGATGCATTATTTTCAAAACTTTGAAATCCAGTTTTTTCCTTGTCCATGCATCTTCGGGTCGAGATGATCAATTTGAGAATATTTGGCCATCAAAACGACCTGAATGTTTCTGAGGTACGCCCTAATTTAATTATTTAGAACCTCACACTTGTACGAGCTTTTTCTATATTTATTTGAGATTGTGTGTTATAAAATTATTTATCTTTGTTGAAAGGAGGTGTCATTTACACTTTGATATTAGATGTCAAATTGGGTAATTTGAGATTATTATTTTTTAAGATTGAGTTTACTCAAAGAGAAAATTTGTACAAGCGTGAACCTCTAAACAACTCAAAAATTTACTAGAAAAAGTTGTTTCAATGCTCAAAAATCTTCAACTTGATTACCTCGAATTTAATATTTATGGACATGAAAAAAAAAGATTTTCAATCTTAGAAATAGTACACTTTATAATGCATTTTCTAGGTCATTAATTTTCAAGAATTTTAAGTATTCATAAATTTACTCAATTTACACTATTTTTTAATTTTATAATTAGATATAAAAAAAATTCAAACTAGTACAAATATTTTCAATATTAAAACAACATCTTTCAACTCTATTTGAAAGTGTCTTACTTTGATTGTTCAGACCTTTAGGGCATCGGCCTTGTACAAACTACATCTTTACATTGTTTTTATAAATTTTTAAAATTATTTGAAAATTTAGTTATAAATGAAATCATAAAAATATAAACTGTAATTATTTTTAAATTTTATTTTTTAATTTTTATTAAAAAATTTAATTGAGAGAGATAGAGAGAGGTTTAGGAAGTTGTGCATTTTGAATAGACGGATGACTTGTTTAAGATTAACTTGGTTGATATTTAAGAGAGAGAGAGAGAGATCGAGTATACCCCTCCTGATGAGGTAAGAGAGTGAGAGTGAGAGGGAGAGGGAGAACGTACTCCATAAATGTCGTAGAATCAAAATTTAGGAGATGGGATTTCCCCGGTAAACAATAAATTTGAGGAAGGAGTACTCCTAAAAGTCCAGGCGATCTAACTGCTGATTGTTTGGTTAGATCGGAACCGGCTACAAGTTTTGAGGAGTTTTTATTTGTTATCAATCAATATTTTAAAAAATTTAAAAAAAATGCATATAAATTATCAAAAAGAATATAATTTGATTTGTAATGTATTTTTCAATATTTTTTAAATTATAGTAAAGATTAAATTTTGTTTTGGTCATTAATACTCACTTTTATATTTTCCTATCTTTTTAAAAAATTTAAAAAAATTACCTTTAGACACAAATCAATTCGTTAAAATCTATTTTTTTCATTAATTTTCAATGAATGTGTTTAGTTTTAATTTATATGCATTCATTTTTTAGTAGATTTTTTTTTATTTTTTTAAAATTTTTTCAACACTTTTTTTATTATGCAGGATTTGTCCAGTTAAACCGATTTAACTGTTCCAGTTCGATTTTACGAACACTGACTCCGACACATAGTTATGAGAATCGGACTGGACCGGAGGTCAGATAGTAAAATCCCCAACTGAATTATTCGCTAGTATGAAGAAGAAAGTCAAACTACGTATGAGAAATAACCTGTTAAAATCGCCATTGACCGATTAAACCGGTTTGATCAACCAAATTTTAGCATTTTTCTTGATCAACCTGTTCTAATCATTTGAAGTTTTCTTGTTGTTTTTGCTTAGATTTTTTGCTTTATTTGCATGTTTTTTTTTTTATTGCGTTGGAGTTTTTATTTCCAAATATTATACCCAAAAAATCTCAAGATTTTGCCCATGATTAAAGGGCAAGCTTTCTATGCTTCCTCTATAGCATAGAAGTTCTCTCATCCCCTTTATCCAACCGTCCATTCTGAATGGAGGGCTAAGATTATCCCTATCACAATGTCACGTCTCTACACAATGGTATTTTTAAATTTTTTTTCTATAAACTATTTTGATACAATATTTTGGACGTCCATTTTGCTATTAAACTCGCACTAGCAAAAAATATAAAAAATATATTTTCAATAAAATAAAATGATCAAAATACTCCTGAAAATTTCAATGGGTATTTTAGTCATTATACTTTATCGAAAAAATATTTTTGATATTTTTTATAAGCGCCTATCAATGAGAAGATATCATGTACCAAATTTCATATTCATACAATTTATATAAAAAAAAACTAAAAATAAAATACTTTGAGACGTCAAATTTAAGATCAAACGGTGAGTGGCTCTCTTCATCAAAATTGGACAGTTGGATGGTAAAGGGAGGATAGAACTTCTATGTTGTAGGGGGAGCATAGAAACCTTTCCCATGATTAAAAGGGAAATTTCTCCCTTTTATTTTGTTTGTAATATTTCTATTTTATGAACACGTATAATTTGCTACCTTGGGAACATATTATACATTTACTCCCTGGGGGCAAAACGATTAGGATTTTTTTTTTCTATGCATTTAATTTGAAGTTTTGGGATCCATTTCATTATAACTAAGAGTATTATTTTAAAAAAAAACAAAAATTAAACTAAATTTGAGTTTATAAACATCTAGATTATTTCCTCCAAAAATTGAAGGTTTCAGGTGCAATCTTGGGATGTATCTTTTTAGGCACATGGAGAGCCAGAGTTCAATTTATTTATTTTTAGTTGTTTACCGGATTCTAGAAATTACATCCTAAATTTTAAAATTAAAAAGATATCTTGTGCAGGGAGAAATAATTAAAATAAAAAAAAGTAATAAAGGGTGAGAGAATATACCCTCTCTGATTCTGAAAGAGAATCCCCCAAAACATCTTTTCTAGGTCAACAAGCAAATCCACCCAAAAGATGATCAACTCTTTACTCAATTCCTCAATTCCTATTTGTTAGCTTTTACAATGAGAGACGTCTTCTCTTTAAATATATTTTAAAAAAAATAAATAAAACAACCCTTATCATTTTCTCTCTAACTCCCACATAAGTCTCTATTTCCATCTATATCTCTAAATCTCATGTTATCTTTTTTTTCGAAAAAAATAATAAAAGATAATTTCTACTTATCTTAAAAGATAAGCTATTTTCTAAACCATAAGATAGGCATTTGTGTCGGCACATGCCCCTACTAAAACTCACATACAAAAATCCTTCCACTTCATTTATACCAACGTAATTCTTATTAAAAAATAAACAAAAAATAATAACATTAAAAATTTTGACAAATCTCTTTCTGCATCAATATCTCTAGAATAAATTTTGCCCGAGAGTAAATAGATAGTATACTTCCGTAGCACCACGTGTCACACTCTCCCAATGTGGACATCCGTTTGTCTTCCCTCTATCTTTTATGTAAGTTCATATGAGTTCTGATATTACTATTGACAAATGATTTTTTAAAAATGGGCTGGGGCCTTATGAACAAAGGATAGGGGCTCAAATCCCCACTAACTTACCCTTTCACTTACCAAAAAAGAAAAGAGTTACTGGTCAATTATCTTTTACTTTATTATATGTTATTGAGCATTGATATAATAATTTGATGAATAATGGTGCCATAGGTTGGATAAATTTTGGCATAATAATAAATAATTTCTAGTTTTAATTAGCTTTTTATGATTTATTTTTAAAAAATTAGTCGGAAAGTCTAACCCCAGGTGGGAGCTATTTACATTCCACCAAGCCTTTTGTCGGTTTGAACACCGATTCGATCATGATGACATTGCTCCCACATAGGGTTAGCAAGTTTATGGTTGAAACAAGATTTTTTTTTATACAATATCCAGTTTATTGAAATCTGTTGAGAACTCCTAGTTTTTCAAAAGATATTAAAAAAATTGTATTTTTTATGGAGCCAATCAAAATATGTATTTTTAATTTTTCAAAAAAATTAAGTTTTAAAGAAAACTTCTTCCAAATTTAGTTAAAACTTCAATTCTCTTCTTGATTGATTATCTTTGACTTTCAAGTAAAAGATAAGTACATTAAAAGTGAGAGTAAAACAAAAAAATCCAGCAAAACTTCTCTTAAAAAAAGGGTATTAAAAAGAATACGAGTAATATATTCCAGAAAATAATCTATTAAAGAAATAATATATTTTAAAATAGGTAAAATTATAGGAAGGGTAACCAACAAAAGTTCTTCTTTTTCTTTAAATTCAAAGCGTCATTGTAAAGGGCATGGAAGAGATCCAGGGACAACCAAAGGTTCAGGCGGTTAGGAGTTCATATTGAGTTTCAAATATTTGAATTTGTTGAAGCATTTTATTGCTTTTTTTCTGCATACAAAAGTATGATTAATTTCACAATTTAAAATTTTTTGTAATTCCATTGGTGTATACAACACAACATTTTGGATAGATAATTATTTTTTTGCTTTTTTTTGTGTTTTTGTGCTTTTAATTAACTGCAATCTTGTATTAACGGTCTTTTATTGTTATTTTCTTCTAACAATAATCTTATACTTTGGGTTATTGTTCTTGTTATTTTTTAAAGTAGTTCTAGTATTTCATAATGTGTTGGGTTTATAAGGCCTTTAAAGGCCTTAAGAGAGATTGTATAAATATTTACATAAATGAATCATAAACTCAGTGGCAATGTGTTCTTTTTGTGGACCATACTAGACAAATGTAATTTGCCGATACTCGAACTTGGGTTGATGTGTTAGATCAGCCGAGTTGAAAAAGTCACGATACTTGAGCATAGAGATGAAACTGATGAGGGTTTAGTGGGTTAGCCCTTGATGAAGTCGGCGCATGCACGGATGAGATACGAGAGACTGTGTGACTTGTATGTGATAAATAGTCTATAGAAACAGGACTAAAACATCATCGTTGTATCATCATACGCCATGTACATAGATAGCCGTACTAAGATAGTAATCCACCATTGAGGGTGAAGCGTGTACATGTGCGATAGATTACCCCTATACACCATATAGTCATTATTGCATCATGGTCTGGTGGATCATGGTTTGTTTCTAGGGGAGAACCTGAAATCCACATATTGGGATTACGTCCCCTAACCCATTGATTGACTTCGCCATTCCAATCATAAGCCCTTATAGTAGACTGTGGGTCATGGGAACCGCTGAGTCAGTTTGAGAAAGCTAGTGTGGATCGTGGTCTACAGTTAAATATGGAATGCTCCTATGCGTTGATTAAATCCTAGACTTATTCATATCCGATTCCCATCAAAATTAATTTAATTTAATTAATTTTATGTTATTTGATTTTAAAAATGTTTATTTTAATTTTTATGAATCTTCTGATATTTTAATTTTGTCATTTGGATTGATAAATAAAGAGAAATTCATTTCTAAAGTTTTAAATAAACTAAGAGGTTTGAAAAATTCTAAAATCAATTTTTATTATATCTAAAATATGTGGGATCCTCCATAATTATTGGAGGCCCATTTAAATCACATGGGAGAATTGGGTAGGGCCCATGAGTGATCACCAAAGGGTAGCATGCCCCACCCATAGGGGATTGCCCTTTCTTGCCAAATATGGTGAGAGGCATCCCATGCTAGTTGGCTTTCCATTTTGTAGATAAGCCTACTTGCATTAAATAATGATAATATTGAGTTTTAGAATATCTTGTTAATGAAGATTATTTGATTTGAAAAATAAAAAATGAATATTTACTAATAGAGAAAGTAAATAGATAATTTCATTGTTTAAATTATTTGATGGGAATAGGTTTAGAAATGGGAGGATAAAGTTCTAACACCTCCATTAGCATATTCATGGTGGATCTAAGGTATTGATGACTAACATCTCTCACCCTATAAGTCGCTTTAGATCGACGGTTAAGATTTGCTCATATGATTTTATGGCAAACCCTAATGCATGAAAAATCTATAAAATGGATTATTCTACTCCCTTGTCTCTACACTTCTTACTTTCTCTCTTCTCTCTCTAAGATAGAATCTCTCTCTAGCCTCTCTAAGGGGCACGCCCCACATAAGTTACTCTTTCTCTCCAAGAAACTCAAGGGGCCACATCCCACCTTAGCCTACCTCTCTCTCTCACACACACACACAAACTATCCTAAAGGGGGCACACCCAAGCTAGGCTAGGTTAATCTTGAATCTCTGTCATGGGTTCTAAATCAAGCATGGTTTTGGTTATGTGATTTTGTAGGCAGCAAAGGGACCATCCCTAGCTACTAGTTTTCTCCCTCCTTTCTTGGTTTTTATCTCTCATAAAGATCAAGCTAAAGAGCTCGAATTAGGCCTAAGCATTGAGGCTTTAGGTGGGTGGTTCTAGATTGGGATCTATATGCATTGTTTTGGTTTTGTCATAAGTAGGAGAACTCAAGATACCGATCAAAGATCCCAAATACCACCGGAAGGAGGAGACTCGACATGGGGTGTACTAAGCCCAGTTGAGATAATCTCAAATACCATCTTTTGTTTCTTCCATATTTATTTATTATATCTTTTATTTCCAAGTAAATGTTGTGTCTTTTCTTTGCTATTCAAAGAAAGGTTTTGAATGGCTTCGCATTTTTTAAATCATATTATATATTTTTTATTTTATTTATTTGAGGTTATTATATTGTAAAAAGACTATTTGTAAGTGATCTAGACTGTGAAGAAAAGAAAATGAATTGAAAAAAAAAGCAAAAAAGTTATTATATACTATGGCTCGATCACACGTGTCCTTTCAATATGCTCACAGTAAATCGATCATATGTTTTATGTTGTGACAAAAAACAATAGCATTTCTGTTGAATTTATTGAAAATTTAGACACAATTGGTCGAGTGTTACCCCAATCATACTAAGTAACGATAAAAAATTATTGTTCTATAGTTGTAATGTATCCCTTAAACAACAGCATACCAAAATCTTATATTTTATCATCTTTGCATATCTAATTTATTTTCATCATTGTTTGTATAGCCAAATCCAAATATTCACGGTTTTTTTCAACATACCTAATTTTTTAGAATCCGCAGTTTTTACCTTCTTTTTTTTTCTTTTTTTTTTTCTTTTTTTTGAAAAAATTGCATAAAACTCTAAAAAATGGACTTTCTAATCTACCCCTAACTTTTCCTAGCAACTTCCCATATTTTTTAGCAAATATCTCCAATACTCTTTTTTTTTTAACAAAAATACCCTTCCCATACATAACAAATCATTTTCGGATCCCAATAAAAGGAAACGTGAGACCGCCCTTCAAAACGCCGAACCGCCCTTCAAAATGCTGGACCGCCCCTTCAAAACGCCATACCACTACTTCAAAACACCCTACTGCAACTTCAAAATGACGGATTGCTATTTCAAAACGCCGAACCGCCCCCTTCAAAACTCCGGACCGCCCCTTCAAGACGCTGGACCGCCCCTTGAAGACGCCGGACAGCCCTTTCAAAACGCCGGATTGCCCCCTTCAAAACGACGGACGGCCCCCTTCAAAACGACGGACGGCCCCCTTCAAAACGACAAACCACCACTGCAAAACTCCAGACTGCCCCTTCAAAACACCGTACCACCACTTCAAAAAGTCGGACTGCCACTTCAAAATGATGGATCGCTATTTTAAAAGGTCAGACTACCGGTCAGACTGCCCCTTTAAAATGACGGATCGCACGTCATACTGCTCATTTCTCCAATAGCATAATCCCCAGACTGCCACAATGAAATGCTGCACCGCCCATTCCAGCAAAATAATTTCTGGACCACCTCTTCCAACGCCGTACCGCCCTCTCGAGCAAAAGAGATTCCTTATGTAAATGAAGGGTATTTTCATTAAAAAAAAATGAACTTTTTGTATTAGGGGTATTTGCTAGGAAACATTGGTTTTTGGGGAAAGTTGTTCTAAAAAGTTCAATTGGGGGTAAATTGTTTAAAAAGTATTTTTTGAGTTTTTAGAACAAAACCGATTATTAGCGTTGTTTTAGTTTGCTCCCCGAGTTGCTAACTATGCTCACGTGGGTGTAAAAGAGAGTAACCAATATAATTTTTGGAAGCCTAAAAAAAAGGCAAATTTTCATACATTTGTGTAGGTTTGAACCCAAAAGGTAGGAAAGACATTTTAGGGGAGGACTTACAAGTGTACTGATTTTAGGAGATGATTTACAATAGAAATAAGAAACATTAGGAGCCCCCGTGGATGTGGATGTAGATGTGTGTGTATGTCTAAAAGAGAGACCCGCATATTCATTTTAGAAAAAAAATAGGCAAGATAAAATTTGGTAAAATTTAGAAAATAGAGAAATTCTAAGATATATTGTTTCTTCTTTAGAGAAGGAAATCTATTTACCTTAAGACACATCCTATATCATCATCATAGGGTATCCTGGTACAACATACCCTATGGACCCGGTTTCTATGCGGCCAAGCTAGCATATGTAGAAATACGGGCTCATTAATAAATCTAATTTTGAGATGGATTTTTTGACTTAATTTTTAAGGACATGTAATATCTAACATAGAGATCATGAATATGACTAAATAAATAAATTTTAAAAAATCAAAATAATAATTTTAATAAAAAAACATTTGGATTGTTAGTTTCCATTGTTTTTAGATGTAACACATACTTGCATCAATCTTTAAGATGGATGCTTTACACTTTTTTGACCTCATATATAGTTATGCGGTCCAGCCCGCATGAGACAATTTTCCATATATTTTCTAAATGTCTGCACTATCCTTTCTAAGAGTAGGGTTACTTTTTATTCTTGCAACATGTGTCCAGTATTTGAGTGCAACTAATAATTTAATATATAGACAATTTTTCATATATTTTCTAAATGTCTGCACTATCCTCTCTAAGAGTAGGGTTACTTTTTATTCTTGCAACATGTGTCCAGCATTTGAGTGTAACTAATAATGTAATATATAGATAAATGTAAAGGGTACAGTTTGTGTGGGGCAAGCTCTAAACAAACAAATTAGAGGCCACCTTCAAATAGTGTCGAGAAATGTGGTTTCAATACTGAAAATCGTTGACTAGCCTTAAAATATATTTTCATCTTTAATTATAGAATTTAAGCTTCAAAAATAGTGTAGATCAAGAAAATCTGTAAAAACTTGAATAATTTAAAAATTGATGGTCCAAAAATGCATTATAAGATGCACTATTTTCAAAACTTGAAATCCATTTTTTTCTCAAGTCCATGCATCTTGATATCGAGATGATCAATTGAAAGATATTTTGGCATCAAAACAACCCTTTCTAATGAAATTTTTGAGGTAGGCATTAATTTGATTGTTTAGAGCCTAGGCCCTATATATAAACTTTCTCCAAATGTAAATAGGGAAAAGTTTATAGAAGTGTGAAGCTCTAAACAATCAAATTAAAAGGCACACTTCAAAAATTTCGCTAAAAGAGGTTTTGATGCTCAAATATCCTCAAATTGATCATCTCGACTTGAAGATACATAGACAAGTGAAAAAAATGAATTTCAAGCTTTGAAAATAATGCATCTTATAATATATTTTTCGATTGTCAATTTTCAAGTTTTCATAGGTCTACTCGATCTACACTATTTTTGAAGCTTTAAATTTTATATTAAAGATAAAATCATATTTTAAAGTTATCACAAAAGATTTATAAAATCATATTTTAAAGTTATCACAAAAGATTTTTCATATTGAAACCACATTTCTAGACACTATTTGAAAGTGATTGTTTAGAGCCTCGGCCTTATACAAACCGCACCCAATAGAGAAATTCTAAGATATATCTTTTGTTCCTAAGATAAAGATATATGTTTACGTGCCCTAAATCCGCTCTACGAGGAGGTCTCTTTTTATTCTCGCAACATGTATCCACCCCCATAATTATAGATTAATAATGTAGGACATGGATAAATATAAATACTACGTACAGCACATACTTCTCGTTTTAATCCAGTCAACATTTAATAAAAAAAAAAGGAAAATCAGTCAAATTTGAACTGTTTTGAGCGCCTTCCGTGCTATTACACCATGTTAAAGAACGGTGCCACAAAAGCTAAATTGCTGATTATACGATATTCAGAGCAGTATATAAGTCATGAAATCACATATATTTCAGAAACATTATAGGGAAGTGGATGGGCAAAGAAGTTCAATTTTATTCTAAATGGCACTCAAAAATTCCTCAACATCAGAAGCTAATAAGAAGAGAAATCAAAGTCCACACCTGAATATCAGGAAAAAGAACATAAATAAAGCCCTCAGAAAAGCCTAGCAGAGATCAGAACATATATTAATTAAACCACATAACTGACTAGACAAGACCCGGAAACAGTAACGTCCTTTCATATAATGTTCTGTACATCAAATCTTTTTGCCTCATGGAGTATTTAACCTGATCGGGTAAGTGTAAATGAGAGATGCCCAATATTCTGAACTTGTTGAGTTCAGCACTGCATTTCTACAGTTGTTGAGTTCAGCACTGCATTTCTACAGGTTCATAATATGGATCATCTTCGCCATTCAGCCTTCTCTGCAACATTCGCAAATAATTGGATGCGCATTAACTGTGTGCTCATGATAATTTGTACTCTATAGGAAAATCCAGTAGTTTTGTGAAATGTAATTTATTGCTATCTAAGTGAATTAGTGTTTTGGGTATTTGAGAGCAGCATAAGTTATCAACTGAAGCTCATTACAACTCCACAGATGCATCCAAGGAAATATTCTCAGGATTAAAGTTAGACAATGAGTTTTGTTTTTTTATTAGTATTTTTTCCATTTTTTATAGGCAAGCGCATCTCACCAGCTCGATTTCAAAAGAACGGCCTCACAGGATTGAAAGACCATCTTTTAATAAAATGAAAACCAGAAGGTTAGTGAGAAAATCAGATTGGACTGGGTTAGCACAAGCACTTCAATCATTTAGAAAGAGTAACCAGACACTTTATCCACAAGGAAAGAAAATGAAAGGTATAATTTCAGACAGATAACTAATGGTATGAAAAGCAGATTTCCATGGCTTCCAGTTGAGATAAAGCAAACAAAAGGAAGCTATTAAAAGACAGGAACAAATAGATTTGGAGAACTTGGTCTTAGGTTCAGGGTTTACGATTGGTTCACTTTATAACACTAAGGGATTTTACGGGTATAAATGAGGAAAATGTATTTTAGACTAAGAGTCAATTGTTTCAGGTCTAGGATTTATGGACCATGAGGAGAGATAAAGTTTAGGGTGCAGGTTTTTACCAGCAGTACCCTGTGACTTTCCCTTGGAGCCCGGTTGGGCCTGAGAGAGAGAACGCTGAATTCGAGGGGACCCTGAACTATTTGTCCTCCCACCTGAACCTGGCAAGGAGTGCCTTTTCACAGTATGGTAATTAGCTTTGTCTTGCACATCAGGGCTTGATTTCGGTGAACTTGTGAGTGCCTTTGCCCTGGCAGACTCAGTCGCCTGCATGTACCCAGGTACTGTAGGGCTACTCCTCAATTCATGCTCCACATTATCATGCTCAAGCTTTGTCGAACCAAAAGAGCTCCGCCTCCTCCCACTCTTTGTATCAGTCGGCTGATGGTCCACACTGTTTCTTGCATTTGAACCATTTGCGGCTTGGTTTACCGGTGACTTTTTGCCAACAAGTGACCTGCCCTTGTAAGTCCCTCTCCCACTGCTCTCCTTGCCACTATTCTGGCCCCTAGATGAGATTTGGCTCAATGGGGTGCCTAGGGATTCAGGTGCAGTGGCTGTGCTAATTGGAGATCCTTCAGGGGACGAATTGTATGAATTTTGAAGATCTGAAACTTGGGTGTTTATATTTGGTGTGAACTGATTCGTTTCTGAACCATCAAATTTGTCATCAATACCATCAATCTTCACTGGCTCAACCAACACGGTGGGGGCTGGCGAATTGGAGATTGAAGGTGGGTTGCTCGCTTCATTGTCCAAATTTTCGGATTTTGAAACAACCTCGGCATACCCATCATTGACACTCTTGGCATCTTCTAAAGCTTCCCAACCTTCTGTTTCATTCCTTGGAAGAGCCGGAGAAAGGGTAATTTGAGAACTGGATTCAAATGTTTCATTAGGAAGTATTGAAATATATGATGTGGAATCATCAGTTAGGGCAATATCAGTAGTGCTTTTGGTGTCAGAGCATGCCTGAGATGGTGGAGACTCAGGTCTCGAAGTGGATATGGTAGGGACTGGCTTCACAGAAGTTGGGGTTGAGCTGAGCTCTTCGAACTTCGACTGAACAGCTGCAAAGCTAGGGCTAGTGCTTCGCGTTCTCCTGGACATTGATACAAGTCTCTTGTTTTCGGTATCTAATGGTTCAGGAGCAGCCCTTTTCATGGTGCGCTTGGGGTTCTCAGGTTCTTCAGCCCTAGGCTTATCGGGAACAGAATCGAGCACAGAGGTCGAGGTTTCATCTGATTGAATTCCCATTTTGCATGCTAAGGAATCTCTGAGGGCCTTGCAAACCTGAACAGAATTCTCACTCTCTTCAATGAAACCCATGTTATTGAGCAGAGGAGCATCTTCTACCGGGAGGTCTGAGGTTTTATTCGAGACAACCACTGGATCCCTTGCTTGGTTCTCAGAAAATGTACTGGAATCAGCTGACTTGGCCTCAAGCTGCACTATGGAATTAACTGTTGGTTTTACCAAGGTCTCATGATTAGGCTTTGGAGCTTCAACCCCTGAACAGATTAGTCTTGGAGCTTCTGGTCCAGTATAATCTTGCTTAGAAGCTTTTTCATTAAGTTCTTGATTATGGCACGGCTTCTTTGACTGACCCAATTCTTGGGTGGATGCTGCCATCCATCTCTCCAACCAGTTCCAAGCAGAACTGGATCTTGAAGGATCACAATCAATGTGTATGGGTTTAGTTTTTGGTGCTGATTCCAGAAGCTGTTTTCACAAGAATAAGAGACTAATCAGAACATGTTAAGAGTTTCTCTAGTAAAATGAAAATAAAGAGAAGAACCAAAGAAGAGGATCATTGCTGAACCTGACGAGTAAATCCATTGCCAAACACCCCGTCAGCCGAACCAATTGCACCATTTCCTCCCAAGCCCCCCAGTCCCTCCTCCTGAATTACAAATGTCTTGGATCAGATGATGCAATCAATCAGTGTAACCAAGGAGTTCACTTCTCCTTTGCATGTTTGCTCATAGTGCACTAATGCATTTTGAAAACTTTTATGAGTGGCTAAAAGATGCTGCTTACCAGAATGCTACTGTGTTCAGATAAATTTTACACATTTGGGAAAATTTTCGTAGTAATTTAAGGTTTTAACTCACATGCAAAAAAAAAAAAACATCTCCTAAACTGTCCAAGTAGGGTGGCAAGCCATGACTCTTCGTGCGCACGAACATGCGTGTGTGTGAGAGAGAGTGACAGGGAGGAAAGGGGGGGGGGGGGGGGGGCGGGGCCAGTGGGTGGTTTAATCTTTCACAAGGGCATTGAAGGGCTACTCTGCTATACTTCGGACATAAGAAGAAAGGTACATCTTCATGACATGCTTTCATATATGTCCATAATCACTTCTATTCTTGATATTCTAGAAAACCAGCTAGGCATTAGGTTTTTGAAATCCAAGGTAGGTATCCACCAAAACAGTTGGCTAAGACAGTTGGAAACCAGTTGCAATTTTGTAGTTCACATACCAGATGCGGAAAACAGTATACATAATACTAACATATTTATAAAAATGTAAGTGCTTTGCG